TTTTGAGATTTAGCAACGACATTTCTCTTAAAAGATCTGTCTCACAAAGCAGGAAAAGTGCTTTAATGTGATCCCCTTTTAACCAAGGCAGATCACTATGGTAACCACAAATAAGGCAGCAGCACCAGGTCTATGTTCATACTGCTTAACATGGTCACCTCCTCGCCAATCCTCACATGAACCAAATAATTTGAAGATAACAGTACAATCAAAGCACATAACCTGATATTTCCAGTAGCGGATAAAATGTGTGCAGGATTAAAACACTACATAACAATAATGTTTCTTTCAGTGACTGATATATTTCATCAGACATAATAAATGTTTGAGGGAGGTTAACGCACCTTGTCCCCAATCTGGCAATAAAATTGGCTTCAATAATAAATGAAGTATAGTGAAGTTTGTTGAAAGTCTTTAGAGGAATTCTCAAAGTGACTGGTGTAACACGTTAAGGATCCATATATTAGCAAAGTGAAAAGCTGACTGGATAACATTAAAATATTCAGAGGGGGGAAACTTATAAATATATAGAATTAATGAAAAGTTAATTCACTGTGAATTCATTACTAAGCAGGAGTGAGACTGCAAGCACAATTTCCATTTCAGTGGATTTACAGTTAGTCTTAACATAATGTTTTGAAACGTGTCAAGATGAAAGTTTGTGGAATTTGATAGACAGTTTATTTCCATGTGTGAGTAACACAGCTGCATTATTTGACTTGTGTTGTCACTTAAAAGCAATGCAGCAAGCTGTAAACCCAAATATGTCACACAAATCAAGGGCTTATGAGCCAGCATACAAAAAGCAGTATTATCTTTCATTAGCTGTTCCATTATCTGATAATTTACCTACGGTAATTTTATCCTTATTATTAATGTATTTGGTCTGACATTTCAGCTAGTATTCGCACTATTTTCAACAGCTAGTTGCTTATTTTGACTCCTGGTTGGTGTTTGTGTTACCCAAACATTTTTGGTGAATACACATCCCTTGTGCACCATGAAACATGGGTGTTTAGAGATAGAACAGCAATCAGTTGGAAAGGACTACACACTGTGCATTTAATCATGAGCTCTTATTAAACTCTGGCTCTCTTCTACGGTACGTCTTTCGTCCTGTTTTCCTCCCCTCACCCCCATCCAGTTGTGGCAGACGGCTGCTCCTCCCTGAGCCTGGTTCTGCCGAAGGTTTCTTCCTGTTGAAAGGGGGTTTTACCTTCCTGCTGTCGCCAAGTACTTGCTCACAGTCTGATCATTGGGATTGTTCTTTATAAATTGTAGGGTCCTTATCTTAAAATATAAAGCAACTTGATATGACTGTTGTTGGGATTTGGTACTACATAAATTAAACTTAATTGAATTGAACTGAAAAGCGAAACAAATTGCTACAATAGGGTAAAATTCTCCATAGAGGTGTACCGAAGCCCAGAGTTAAAGGAAAACTCCTTAACTCCAGAAGCTCCTTACCTAGGACTCCTCCTGACCGTAGGACTTTAATAATTAGCAATATCATTCACAACCATTACTACTTTTTTTGTAGACCACTAACTGTTGGTAATCTAGTCATCTTTTCCACTGTTCCATTCTTCTTTACTTAACAGAAAAAAATAGGAAACATCATAGTTTTGGATAACAAATAAAGTTCATCTTGTAGTCCATAGATTTTCTTTAAAGTTCCAGAGAAACCTAATGGCTACAGAATGCTATCACTCTTCATATCGCCTGGTTTCATGCTGGGCACAAATCTTATGAGATAACTCCATATTTTGTTACATAATCTTACATTTTTTACATAATTCTTACATTTTAACAAATTTCCCACCTGTGGGACTAATAAAGGTCATCTTATCTTATTTTACAAACCAGGCCTATGATATCGCCTGGAGAAGCTACAACATGATTAGATCGTATCTCTACAGTACAAGCTCTGCCTGACTGACTTGTTGACTTACTGAATGACAACAGAGCTTACACATTTCCTGCTAACAACTGATCATTACTGTCAATGCTACACTGTAAAATGACTTATATATGTAGTCAAGGTTTGACCAGCTCTATAATGATATTGTTTGCTTGGTTTAGTGGAAAAGCCTAGAAAAGCCTATTGCCTTACAAATGATGCAAAAATGTTAACTATACCTAGCTGGGTGCCTGCTGACTTCCGGGCTACTTGGTTGATCCCTTTGAGAGGGATTGGATGTAATCCCACCAATCCCTGAGGCAGAAATTATGGCATCATCATCATTACAACGCTCATGCATTAAAACATCTCTGATAATCCATCTAGCTTCTGTGCCAGCAGTCTCAGGCAAAAAATGGCCTGACGTTTTTTACATTTAGCATCTCTGTGATTCAAACATTCAAGGAGTCAAAGGAGTTGAACTGACATGCCTTTTTCATTTATATATTCATGATCTGGAATTTTCATGCACCTGGTCTGGAATCTGGATGTTATCCTGATTTGCTACTCTGCGGTTACTTGGACTGTGTAGTTCTCTGCACTCTCACCTACAAAAATTACTTCCTGTTTGCAAAGATTTAGAATATCTGAGCTCAGTTTTAATCTGAACTCATCACATATACACTCTTCAGGTCCCTTACTGTCAAATTTGAGGTGACTGGCTATCCTTTTAGCATCATTTATTTTTTAGCATGCAGAGTTATCACTTTGAATGGGTTTGTTTTAGCCCAAATAGCGTTCTTTTTCTAACCCTAAGTAAGCAGTGTTGGTGCCAGAAGCTAAGAAGTGAGAAGAGATAAAAACTGCAGTCTCCTGGTCCTGTTTTTAGCATTCGCCCTTGGCATCCAATAATACCATCATCAAAGGATATCTTACGCCTATATGTGAGACACCAGGGGCTGTGAGACACCAGGGGCTTTGACAAAACAGCCAAACATGACACCATTGGAATGGGAACAGTTTAGCTAATAAGCCACTGGAAGTTTTGGTCGTTTTGGATACAAATGTTGTACTCGGCCTGTTCTCACAATTCAGTGAGTTGGACATTTTAAGTCATTTCAGATTAAATGACAGTCTTTGCTCATTGTCATAAACTTAATCCTAAAGTATGCCAGTTAGAATATTGGGGGGTGGGGGTCTCCTGATTGCCAAGAACAATTTTGATAATCATTCTTCCAAGTCTTAGTAATCAGAAATCACATGCTCTAGTTAAGGGTCAGCTTTAGGGCTGTTTAGATCCCGGTGATTACATTTTTAGACTACGACTACATACAAGAGTGGTTGTGACTCAGGAGGTAGAACAGGCCATCTAATTGGAAGGTTGGTAGTTTGATACCCGGCTGCTCCAGTCTGCATGCCAAAGTGTCCTTGGTCAAGATACTGAAACCCAAGTTGCCTGTCCCTAATACACTGATCAGAGTGTTAGATAGAAAGCACTTAGACACCAAAAAAAGTGCTTGTGTGAATAAGGTGTATAAGGCACTTGGAGTGCTCAAGTAGAGTAGAAAAGCGCTCTCTAAGAACCAGTCCATTTACTATATGTTGCAAATGTGACTTTGCTTAATTACTTCTTTAACTCAGAACACAGAAAGGAAAGATCCATCAACCTCTTTTAAGTCAAATACAATATCACAATATTAAAATACCTGAACGATATTATATATGATAATTTTAAGATGATAATGCGGAACAATGACATTGTAGTATGAGTTTGTTGTTGCTATAATCAGCAACAAAATGACAATAAAGTGATATGAGAAACCTCTGGAAATGAGTTGGTGACCGTGGTGACTATCAATCAAATGGCAAAGTCTTTTCGCCTTTTTAAACATTACGATTTTCTGCATCTTCACAATCTATAGAGCAAATAATTAACTGATCAAACAGAAACAGCGATCTGTTTTTAATGAAATGTCAGTTATAAACAAACACACAACAACTTTGAAATACAGTGTCAGATGAGTCTGACTGGTGTAATGAGAGTACATTATTTCAGATGTCTGTCTCCCCAAACACACTGAGCATGTCAAAGTAACATACGCTCTGCACCGTGTACCAGGCTACAGATGATGCCCACTTTATGTAACGGGGCAGCCACGTTCTTCGGCTTTAGAGATTTTACTCAGCATTGCATCATGTAGCTTCTTTGGCTCCAGCTATCACACACAGAGCAGATATGCACCGTTTACTTGAACCTTCAATCCATTTCTACTTTGAGTGCAGAATAGAGACAACCATTTTCCCATAGTATTCCCACAGACTGTCTACAGTCCTGTAGCTCGATGCGGTTTCACATGTGAGATAGAAAAAAGGCAGAAAAAATGAGCATAGACGAAACAATGCGCTCTAATCCACACACACACAGCATGCAGAGTGTGTCTGTGCGTGTAAGTGTGTATGTGTCTCGACTGGGGAGGTACTATGTATAGAAAATCAGATACTCTTCTATTCTTTATATAACAAGGCCTTCGCTGTACTGGAGATGCATCTGTTTCACCATAGAGATAAACATCATGTAAAACCTACTACGGTCCCATGTAGGAATATTATAATGACAGAGGTGCTGGCTAAATGCACTGAGACCACTACAATTAATTACTGCCTTACTAATGAGGAGCCAAAGCAGGACTATCGGAGGAATCTGATTTGTAGTGATTTTTCAGCAGGAGGGGTGTATCATCCCGACTCTGCGGCACCACCATAACAAAGAGACACGAATCCACGGACCTCTGCATGAGACACTGAACCCCCCTCACCCCCCGCCACCCCGACTCTTTCTCCTCCTCACACGCCCACCATCCTCTCCCCATTGGGATGGGAAACACCGCGCACAGCGATGTCTCCGACTATGATTCCGCCATATCATAAGCTAAATATAGGCCTGCATCCGTGCCACTGCAGCCTGCAGACCTGAATATAAATATGGCACCAATTACATTTCATTTATAAAGGCCCACGAGAGGCTGGCGCGTCGCCAGGATGCAGAGAAAACAATCGCGCGATGACACGTCCCGAATCACGTTAAAACAGTGAAACTCACCGTGTGGATGCGTCCCGAGTCTCTCGCTGAACGTGTGTGTTTGACAGTAAGAGTGTGTGATGGGGAAAATCTCTCCACCTTTCGGTGCTTGCAGAGCAAACTGGTGCCAGGACTGAGACGCAAGCCACGCCCCTTTCCCCCGAACAGCTCGACCAATCAGGAGCCTGGAGCGTCAAACGAGGAGTCTTCAGAGTCTGCATGCGGGAGGGGAAGCTGCTGCCTTTAGGGACCGCCGGTGACAGCGGTATTTGTTTTGGCTTGATTATTTAGAGATTTAATCGTACATCTCAGGGGGAGCGTGTTAATATGAAAACACGTACAGTGGGTGACAAATTCGAGAAAAATATGCAACCGTTGGTCTCCACATTGAGGGGCTCTGGTTGCTGTTTTATGTGTGAGGGCATTTTTGCTTCTCTCCTTCTGGGAAAGGGACGATAAAAAGTTGTTAATAACAAGATGTATTTTTCAATCCCAAATATGAAAATGAATTATAATTTCATACAACTAAATCTTGTGTTATAAATGTAATTATCCTTGACATTAAGAGACATACACAGCAACCAGAGACATTATATAAAAAATGGACATTTGGTTTCTGAAATTCTCAATTTAAAGTCTAATATTAGTGCTATAAGTGACCATGATGAAGAATAAAAATATTTAATATTCACTCATTAAAACTGAACCACAAACCTTCTGCGTGGGCTGAACCATGCAGTAAGTCGTATTATTTCTCAGACAACCCCATTAACAAAGATGGCTAGTTCACTTTGTAGCTAATGTTGGTTGCTAGTGGACATTCTAGTCTCAGGTTACCCGGGTACATGGGATATTCTATGATAAAATGTTTGAAATTATCTTTTTGATCTGCAGTTTCCATCAGCTTTGCCTGCCTTGTGTCCTTTAACTTTTAATATTTTCACATTTGTTAAGATGATTGTGTGAGCTGCTAGCGAACCAGAGGACTGAGTGGCTGCTGGGGGACACAGAGGTTTCTTTAGGATTATCTAGGATTATGCCTTCCATTTAATTCTGTGCAGTTTGTTTGTAATCTCCAAATAACACATATTGTTTACAATACACAAGCACAAAAATGGTCAACAAGCAAAATATCAAAGTAACAAAGTTCCTATAGAACTCTCCTTGCAGAAAGTAATTGTGTATTTACACCAGTCTAACTCAATCCAGACACTAATAATCACGTCCAATCTTTGTATATGATTGATAACAACATGTACCTAACTGATCCCCTAAGCCAGGATTTGTTAGCGCCTATTGTCGACTGTTCTTATGAATATATTCATCACAGTTGGGGGCACCATTCATCTGACACCAATCACTATCTATTACTACTTACTTCATAATCTCATCTATTGTTATGAAATGATGAAATAAAATAAATGAAATGAAGAACTTGATATGTTCATTAATAAAAGTAGCTGCTGTAATTGAACATAGGCATTCTTACTTCAGTCAGATCCAGAATTGCCAGTAATTTTTGTTTGGTGGCATAGCTCCACATTCACATGTTGAAAGCCAGAGAGCTACAGCAAGTCCCAGCACAAAACAGAGCAGGTATCAGTGACAACAGACATGTTACACTGATTAAGTCAGAAACAGTGATGTTGGGGGTAGAGGTGGGTTGCAAAGAACTTTTTTATCCATTTGCAGACACACATTTTTTTTTATCCCCAAAAGAGCTGAGAGGAACGCTTATAATAGCAGTTCTTTCATTATTCATTGTTGATTCAAAAATATCATCATTACACATAAAATACTGATTAGTATCGTATCAATAACACATGTACCAGTTTGATCTGTTCTTGTATTAATAAAACAAAAAACAAATTTTATTTGTTCAAATAAAATTTTGAGTGATTATCAGGAGGGCATCCTTGAAAAAGTAAAAAGTTCTAGCTTTAAACCTGTTCTGAACTCATCCATTTCTGTTTTCCTTTCCCGACTGTAATTACTCCTGATGGGTCAAACCAGGGGGCATGGCCTCAAGGTTCTTGCAGAATAGAGGAGTGGTTTCTTCTCATTCACAGTCTGCGTGACAGCCTCTCCTCCTATTACCCTCCCTTTTCCTCTTCTGCTCTGATGAAGTGTTATGTAATGTCCCTGTCTATGTGCATCATCCCCCCTCCTCTCTTTCTATCATCAGCATCTCTGGTCCTGCCTTACCGAAACCCAATCCGTCACACCATCTATCCGCTCAAGTCTCTCTCTTTCCTTTCTGCTGTATCATTCTTCCATCTCACTTCTTTTTGCACAGTTTTATTCATTTTGTCCCATTCCTAAAACCCTCTCATTAAAAAGTAAAAGACATGACTATACACTTAAAGTTGCTCTTCCTGCCACTGTGCAACGAGCCCTTCTCTTACACATCATCAGAATTCAAATATAAAAGCTTTTATTTAATGAATTTGTTAAGTAACTATTCAGTTGGAGTTCCTGCAGTTTAATGACATGTACTGTTATCTAGTTACTCTAAATTGAAGGTAACCCTTTGAGGTCTAAGTCGCAACAAAGAAAAACAAACCTTGCAACCGAAAAAATGAAGCCAGTGCCAATGCGGCAAAAACTTCAGTTTCTCCAGGTGCCACTTGAGGCCGGCTCCAAGGGTTGGTCTGCGATCATAGGCTGCCATGATACAATACTCTTTGAAAAGCATATTTGTAGCCTGGTACACTCTAAAAGTTTCATCTTTCATATTAGTTCAGTTTAAGGTGATTTTTTTTATATTTCCTCCACCTCTACACAATAAGCTGTACATATTGAGCCACAGTTGCTCACAGTCACTTGAAGTAAAAAGCACTTTGAGCGCTCAGTTGGAGTAGAAAAGTGCTATATAATTACCAGTCCATGAACCATGCATCATCTAGGGGTGTGAGCACAGTGACCCAGTGCTCCAGCAACATAAGTCTGTGTGTCTCTGCCTCGTGTCCACACAGTTTATGGTACACAGCTCTCTAACCTAGCTACTGGAAGTTAGCAGATAAAAGGCAGCTTCTGATTGCAATACACCAACACGGCATTGACAAAGATCTCTGTCTAATTAAATGAGTAATTTTTGGTTGATTCCCAGATGATTAAACATGCAACTATTTTGCTGGTAATAACTGAAATGAGTAAAGAAAATCAACAGCCTATTTATGCAAGATAATTCATAATTTTATTGGGAGGGGGGGAATGCAAGACAATAATAATAATATCAACAGACTGATTCATTATCAAAATAAATACATGCAATGCTTTTAACAATCACCACACTTCACTCACCTACAATGTTCACCTACAACGCTCCTTATACATGGAATAATTCAATAATAGATTCTATTCAGAAATACAATCTGTAAAAACAACATATCTCTATGGTAGTCTTGTCATAAACTGACACCTTGTGCAGGATGTACCCCATCTCTCACTCTGTCATGAACAATGTAATATATTGATGCTCCTGTTCATGTATTTAGAATATGATTGTAAAGTTCCATGTAGACGAAGTTTGGCTTGAAAGCTCCTTTTTCCACATACAGGCGTATCTGTAACCGGAAGGTCGCTGGTTCGATCCCCGGGCTCTCTGTCCTGGTCGTTGTGTCCTTGGGCAAGACACTTTACCCTACCGCCTACTGGTGTTGGCCAGAGGGGC